GGGAAAGAGAGAAAGGAAGAGACAGTAAGAGAGAGGGAGGAAAAAGAGAGGGAGAGAGAGAGGGGGACAAAGGGAAGGAGACAGAAGAGAGGACAGAGTGGAGAAGAGAGGGAAAGTGAGAGTGGGAGAGTGAAAGAAGGAAGGAGGAAAGAGAGAGAGAGGAAGGTGAGAGGTTTTGCCACCATCATTCCCAATACATGGAGAATCAGTTCTACCAAAATTCTTTCCACAGAGAGATGGATCATGGGGACTCATTTGGACCCTAACCTCAGATCACAAATAAACTTTACCATGTCTGAATGGATGAACCAGGAGACGAGCTTCGGTGGGGCAGAAGTTGGGATAGGAATTTCCTGGAATATCTGAGGTCTGACTTTCTCAATCTTACTGTACTTAGCAGATTTCAGGGCAACCCCACACTCCCCTCTCAGCATTATCAGAGCCCAACCAGCCTATTTTGGTATAGGAATCAGCACGACTACCCTCATGGCTTCCCCTGAACCTGGCCTAGGGCTGGGAGATCTGGGTTCTGGGTTGCGCTTTGTTAGATACGCTTGGGGAAGCCTGCTTTCCCTCTGGCCTGCGGCATTCCCCCTGCTCTGGGGGAGGCACTGTCCACAGACCACTCACCTGGATGAAGTTCCAGCGCTTGTACAGGCTGCTCTTGACCTTGTCACAGTCAAGGAGCTGGGGCAGCCGGCTCTTCGAGTTATCCACCAGGCAGCGAGTGTCAGGAAGGAGTGTGGTGGTGCCCAGGGCACCCAAGTGCAGGAAGCCTTCCTTGGTGTAGCGGGCAAGCTGCAGAGAGCAGACATGCAAGGGTAGGGCAGTGAGAAGTAAGGGTGAGAATGCATAGGGAAATGAAGTGCAGGTCTGTGGGCCTTGCCCGGCTTTCTGTCAACACTGCACTGTCTCTGTCCAATCATGCACACCTGTACACCCACCTCCCAGGAAAGTATCATTCTAGAAATCCCTCAGGCTTACTAGGCCTTTATCTAGATTTCCAGGGCTATTCTCTGATTTTTTCCTGAGCACATCCTTGGTCCCTGTTTGAGCCTTCTGTTCAGTAACATGGGGGAGTATGAATAGGGAAAAGAGACAGAGAGCTAATTTTGAAAGCTTGACCCTGCTTCCACTGGGCTGGACCACCTACAACAAGTTATTAAACCTCTCTGAGTCTCCATGGTCTCCTCATTTATAAATTGGAATTAGTGAAACCTACCATCCTGCAAAGGATCTGCTATGGTTTTCATGTCTCCTCCCAAATGTGTCTTGAAATTTAATTTCCATGTAACAATGTTAAAAAGTAGGGCCTTTAAGAGGTGATTAGGTCATGAGGTCTCTACCATCATGAACAGACTAATGCTGTTATCACAGGAGTGAGTTAGTTATTGTGGCAATGAGCTCCTGATAAAACAATAAGTTCCCTTTCTCTCTGTCTCACATGCTCACTTGCCTTTCTGCCATAGGATGATGAAGCACAAAGGCCCTTACCAGATGTCAGCACCATGCTCTTGGACTTCCCAGGCTCCAGAACTGTGAGCCAAATAAACTTCTATTCATTATAAATTACCCTGTCTCAGGTATTCTGTTATAACAATACAAAGTGGATTAAGAAAGGGCCCAAAGAGGCAACTCATTAAAGAAACAGATACTAAAGAGCATTCGACTTAGTAGATATTGAAAGAAGTAAAAGACTAAAAGCAACAGAGAGGTACCATATTTAAAAAAAAAGGGATACTTTGAATTTTAGCAAAACTGGCCCCAGATGGACCCTCTCACATTTGAACTACAGGGAGGATAAAGTACTACAACTTACCTATAGGGGTATTTTTAAATGCACATTTTATGTTTGTAAAATGGTTATCTCCTCTAGCTGAATGCATTCACTTTTAGCAATCTAACCTAAGGAAATAATCAAAGTTATAAACAAATGTTTACAGATATGGTATTTATTGTGACATTTTCCAATGAGAGACAAGCAGACACAATCCTAGTACTTACTTCGTGATTCATGTACTAAAACAGATGCTAAAAGACTGGTAAATTGCAAAAGTAGCCACAGCCTTTACTTCTTCTATATCTTTGGCAAGATGACTTTGCAGCAATTTCCACCAAGGAATGAAGTCTAGGTCCAGCCACCATGGTGTATGCTGCTAAGACTCTGTTTCAAGTCTAGTTCTACAGAGAGGCCCTGGTTTACTTCCAGGTCCAACCTAAAGGCCAGGTTTAGTGGCATGTGCCTATAATTCCAGCAATTTGGGAGGCTGAGATAGGAGGACTGCAAGTTCAGGGTTGATGTGGGCAATACAATGAAACTCTGTCTGAAAAAGAGCTGGATGTGGTGGTTTACTCCTATATCACCAGCTGGGAGGCTAAGGCAAAAGGATGATGATAGCGATGCCGTGCCTTAAAAATAAAAATAATAATAATAAAAAAAGAAGTACTTTCCTTATGCCTAGCTCGTTGGTTGGCTTCATGACTTGCTTTGGCTTAGGGAATGTAGTGGAAATGAGGACGTGCCTATTTCTAAACTGGACCATTTCGTATGCTTCCATTCACACTCCTGGAAGCCTGTTGATATCATGGCGGTAAGCTCAAGCTGGCCTGCGGGAGGATAAGACTTGTTGCCCAACTGATTGCCACTCAGCCACCAGGTAAGTACATGAGGCCAACCTAGATCAGGCAGCTCTAAGTCAACTTGCTAGCTGCCGATAGAAAATGAATGAATAAATCCAACCAACATCAGCTGAGCCTGGTCCAGATCACAGAATCATCCAGCTGACCTGGAGACCCATGAAAAACAATAAACACATATTGTCTGAAGTCACTAAGTGCTAGAGTACTTGTATGTAGCAATCACTAATACGACCTGTTACAGAGATGGCATTGCCTGACAACCCTTCCCACAGCGGGGCCCATACAAAGCCCATGGCCTTCCTCCTCTGCCTTCACTCTCGGCTGCCTATGTAGTTTTTTTGTTTTTAGTTTTAGCCATAGGTTATGTATGCTCACGGAAGAGGCAACAGAGAGAGAGAGAGAGAGAGAGAGAAATAGAGAAAGAGAAAGCACCCCCTCCCAGTTGGGGGGTGTCAGCCATTGCAACCCCTTCTCCTCTAGTCTTCTTTTGGGACCTTGGGCATGCATGTATGCACACATACTCGGCTTGTTTTCCCAGCTGCAGGTCCAGGACTCAAACCACACTGTCAGCCATGTGAGATCCAGCTGCCTTAACTGCCACACCACCAGCAGGCTCTGCCTACATACTGCAGCATGAAATAAATGCATTCACCCATCTTTCATACTCCTGAAAGGCAGTCACTGTGCCTAAGTAATTGCACTCCTTACTAGGAGTGAATCACCAAGTGCTCAACATGTTTGTGGTTGAGCACAATATAAATGTGAATGCCAACGTGCATGTAAAAAACACAGCCTGGGGGCCAGCAGATGGTGTGGGGTTTAAGGCACTGGATGTTCACCTGGCTTACCATGGTTCAAGTCCTGCACTCATAGCTTGAAAATCACACAAGGCAACTGTGCATGTGCACTCAAGGAGAATGGAGGAGAAGAGATTGTGGTGTGGCTTGAAAATCACACCAGGAAACTGTGCATGTGCACCCAAGGAGAATGGAGGAGAAGAGATTGTGGTGTGACCAACCCCCAGGAGGGATGATGTCTTGCTTTTCCTTTCTCTGACTCTCTCTTTTGAATGCATGTGCTCTATGACAAACAAACAAACAAACAAACAAACAAACAAAGAAACAAAGGTAGCCTTATTGATTCGGTTAAACTCACAGGTGTATTTTGAAGAGTGTTCTGTATGCCTGGCCTCAGAACAGCCTTTTGGGAATATAAGGATGGAGCTATGTTCTCACTGAGGTGATTCCAAGGAAGGTAGGTAATGACAAAATGAGAGGTAAACACAACTTTTCATTTTTTTAGAATTTTTATTTAATTTTTAAAATTTATTCATTCATTTAATTTGACCAGAGAGAACACACACAGAGAGAAGGAACGTGAGAAAGCAAGCCACCAGGTCTGGGACTTCAACTGTGGTCGCCCAAATGGGAGTGTCCAGAGCACCAACCACCATGCTGCCTGCTGGCCCCACAATTTTTCATTTTGACCCTCAAGATCCTACATATCAGGTAACTGGTGATCGTTAATATTACAGCTGGTGTCTAAGAAGCTATAAATAAATAATATTACCAGTTAGCATGTTTTGAAGGCACACTCTGCATCACTTCTAACCACTGTATAGGGAATAACTAATACATGTTTCGAAGGCACACTTTGCACTTCTAACCACTGTATAGGGAATAACTAATGTAATTTTCACAGCTCTGTGAGACAGGCTCTATGGGTCATTGGAAAAGTCATAACACATTTTTACATAGAAAAACACGTCATGACTTTTCTGACTACCCAATATTATTATCCCCACTTTACATTATAGAAGAGGAAACTGAGGTGTGAAGACATCTTGTTCCCTGGCTAGGTCCTGGACTCTCTCCTTGGGTCCCCAGAGACTGGACGGTTAGCTTTCCTGCCCTGGCACCTGAGCAGCAGAAGAGCCTCTTTCTAGACTGTTGGGTGATCCCCGCCTCCTCGGAGAGCCAGGGCATTTCTGCCCAGAAATGAAGCAAGAAGGTAGTTTGCTCAAGGATACAAGTGGCTCTCTTCTGGTGGAGAAGACTCTCTGCAGGGGTTCTCATCCTTTGTTGAAAGCTACTTGGAAACCCTTGGCTCTGATCCTAAAAGGAGAGCCTGTCTGCTCCCCTTGAACAAATGACAGGGAGTTTATTAAGTGTCCTTGAAAGAGATGTGGTTAACGTGTGCTTTAAACCCAAATTAGTTCCAAATCAGAGTAATTGTTAGAGGCAAAATGGTAAGAAAATCAGAAGTCCTCCCTCTCCCTCCCTAAACAACGTCTCCCTGAATATATTTAAATTCACCAAATGCAAAGTGATGAATGACAGCAAGCTGCCTTTATGTTCAGGGGAAAGATATACACAGCTGCTTATTGAAATTATGAATCAATCTATTATCCAGCAGGCAAATGAGCAGCGCTAAGAACATTAATTAACTGAGCATATCTGTGACCCAGATGTTTAAAGAGCGAAGCTAAATGCCACTGGGAGTTAGAGGTTCTCCTTTCTGAGGTCTGTTAGGGCATGAAAATGATGAGGCCCAGGCTGATGAGACTTGCAGAGGCAAATGCCCAGAGTCATGAAGGCATCAGGTGGGTAGAAGCAGGTGAGTAGGGCCTGGGAGGGATTTCCTTTTGGAGGGAATGCTCTCACACTGAAAATTCATGTGTGTAGGCTCTGCTAGCCTGGCCAAGGGGCCAGCTCTTTAAGAGGAAGTCAGGAAAATGGCACTGTAGTCTGAAGGATGGTAGGGCTAAGGTTAGGCCAACAGATCTCATACCTTCTCTTCTCCCACAAGATAGGAGTGGGGTGAACCCTGGGACCTGCTGTCAACTCAGGCTCCCTGTTTTGTCCCAGCCCTGGATTGAGAGTTTTCATGGTATTGTTTACCTGCCATGACTCCTCATTCCACATGCTCAATAGGCTTCCATGCCTCCAAGACTTTGCTCCAGCTGCTTGCACTGCCCTGAGCTGCTATTTGTCTGGCTGTGTGTTTCCTAGGCCTCCGTGTGATTCTCTCCCTTCTTCAACATCTTCTGTAACTCTTTGAGCCCCAAGTCTATATGGATTTAGCTCTTGAATTTAGGTCTTTGATCCATTTTGAATTCTTTTATCTATAAGGTAGGAGTTCACATTCATTCATTTCCA